CCTATAGAGAATCCAACCAACTCCCTGCAGGTGAAAACTTCAGGAGGAGCGGGAAGACTGGTGTGGAGGTTGCTGGGATAAAATCCGGACCACAAAAGGCAGAGCAGAGATTAGTATTCTGGCTTCCTCTGGCCCGCTGCAGCTTCCTGCCAAGGCAGAGATGGGAGCATGTTTGTGTCTATCCACCCAGAGCCCAGGAGTTATGGGAACCCATCCCAAGGAGGAAGACTGAAGACCAGAACGGGCTGAACTGAAAGAATGGGAGTGAAGGGGATGGGTGTCAGCTTGGCGGGGTTGGGGGAGGGGTAAACAGGGTGAGATAGATTAGTGGGCTCAAGCTCACACAGGGAGGAGTCCAGGTTTCCCTGCTTAGCCAGGCTGCAAGACCACCAGGGCTCAACCATTTTTACGTTTGGCAGCATAACAGTGCCTGGCCCGAAGTCTCCTGGTTTGTACTCTCCCGGTTTAGTTTTTGCCCTGATTGTGATAATTAAGACGGTCACCGTAGCCCCATGATAGCCAGATTCCTCTGCTTGCCGCCCCAAGCCTATGTCTCATAACTTTAAAAAGTGTAAAGCATTTTAGGCATGCCAAGAGGAGGAACAGTTTAACAAACACTTGCTCTCATTACCCAGCCTAAGAGATGAATGTGTGGTGGCTGTCAAAGAGTCCCTTTGCCTCCTTCTGTCCCTGCGACCTCCTTCCCAGTCAGATGTCTGCCCCCTGAGAGGTCACAGCACTTGTGCTATAATGCAGCTGATGATTTGAAAAGGCTCCCACTTTCTGGATGCTGGCAGCCCGAGGGGCCTGCCTGCACCCCATGGCTGTACTGAGAGCTTACAGCTGGCCATTTCTCTTCTCTTTCATCCCTTGCCTGGCTTCACGGCCCAGCTCTGCGTCCTTGCCAGCGGAATTGGTATTTGTTTCATTCTTTTTCCGTACCAGCAGGCACTGCCTGGTACTGAGGGTTGTATTGTGTTCTATTGTATTGACTGAGAGTATCATAGGAGAGTTGCCCACCAAACCCAGAAGGGTCTGGGATGGTAGCCTGCCCTTTGCCTCAGCCTGGAGGGATGGCATCAGGCCTAGCCCAAAGCAAGTAGGGCACGTGGGTGCTGGGTGGCCTTGGGGGCCTCATGACAAGGCTTTCTTTTTCTGTAAGGCCAGTGTAGAGTTGCAAAGAGCCCTGCTGCCCAAGAGTTAAGCTGCAGGCTCCAGGACCCAGAGGATCAGACAGAGGAGGAGTGCGGGATGGGGCATGCTTCTCCTTGTCTATGCCTTTGGATAGGCGTCAGGAAGTCTCATTTCAGGAGCCTTAAATGTAAAGTTCTCAGAGTGAATGCCAAGTAAACTCGTTTGAGTAGATTCTACCTATAGACATGCACCATATGAGAAACTAAAACTGAGAACCTTTTAATCATTTTATTAATTTATTTTGGTTTATATGAGTATGTAAATTGCTCATGTGTTTAACCTTTTGTTTCTTTATTTGGGTTTTTTGAGACCCCTGTGTAGCCCTCCCTGGCTGTCCTGAAACTCATTCTGTAGACCAGTCTGGCCTGGAACTCAGATATTCGTGTGCCTCTGCCTCCCAAGTGCTGGGATTAAAGGCGTGCGCCACCACTGCCCAGCTAATATAATATTTCTAAGCTGAATGTGGTGGCACTTGGGAGGCTGAGGCGGAAGGATCACAAATTCAAGGCTAGCCTGGGCTATATAGGACTTTGTCTCAGCCTTATGGTGGCGCACACCTTTGATCCCAGCACTCAGGAGACAGACACAGGTGGATCTCTGAATTCGAGGTCAACCTGGTCTACATAGTACCTGGTCAGCCACGGCTATACAAAGAGACCCTGTCTCAAAAAACCAAAAGGAAAAGAAAAAAGGACCTTGTCCCCCTCAGAAGAAGTAGAAGAGGAGGAGAAGGGGGAAATGAGGAAAAGAAGGGGTTGACAAAAGTAAAAATGACAAAGAAGGGCATGGCTTTGTTTTCCGCGAATCTCTTTAATGCCTGGCTTTCTGGAAGGCAGCTTAAGTCCTGTGCTTCCTTGTTCAAGTGGTAACATCACATCCCATAGACAACACATCATTGCCGTAAGGACCAGTCTTCTCTGCATCACGGTCCAAATAGATCTAGCCTGGTGGACATAAGGGTCCTAGTATCAGTACCACCGGGCTGGAGGCCAAGCAAGAGGGAGCTGCAATATGACAGGCAGGTGTCTGGGTCCTGCTGACCGAGTCTGTCTCCGCAGGTGTCCTGGCACTGTGGGTCTTGGTGACTCATGTGATGTACCTGCAGGATTACTGGAGGACCTGGCTCAAAGGGCTGCGTGGCTTCTTCTTCGTGGGTGTTCTCTTCTCGGCTGTCTCCATCTCTGCCTTCTGTACCTTCCTGACATTGGCCATCACCCAGCACCAGAGTGAGGACGGTCCAGGGAAAGGAGGAAGGGAGAGGGCTTGGGGGTAGGGAGCAACCTGGGAATATACCCTGCCTGGGACACCTGTCCAGTTTCTACAAGTGATTCTGAATGGCTACAGGGACTGAATGGGTCACTTGGCCTCCCCTGTCCAGCTTTCTTACTGTTAAAGTGGGGAGAATGAGAGCCCCCACCTCCTCAGGAGCAGGAGGATTCCAGACTGGTATCAAGTATTTGACAAGGCTGGCTCACATGAACACCTCCCACTCCAGAATTGCTGGGGTCTTTTAGTCTCTGCCTAGCTCCAGGAGGGCAGCACCCCCTGGTGGCTCTAGTAAGAAGTAGCCAGAGGCCATCCCTGTTTGATGCAGGTTGGCAGTGGCCTGTGTGTCACAAAAGGGGAGTGGATGTCACGGACCTGCTGGCCAACTCTGACCTGCTCTCACGCCTCAGCTTTCTGACTAGCCATGCAGGACCGCTCTAAGCACGCTCCACACACCAGTCTCCGATAGCACTGGTTCAAGGCCCAGAGGCTATCGGGATGTAGAGAGGGAAGGAAGGGGGGGCGTTCCTAGTCTTGGCTGCTGCTGGTGCTTTGGGTAGATTCTCAAGTTATCATTGGCTCCTCTCCCCTGCAGGTCTCAAAGACCCAACCAGCTACTACCTCTCCTGCGTCTGGAGCTTCATCTCCTTCAAGTGGGCCTTCCTGCTCAGCCTCTACGCCCACCGCTACCGGGCTGACTTTGCTGATATCAGCATTCTCAGTGATTTCTGACCCAGGGAATGAGGTCACTCCAGCCTGGGGGCCCTCAGGACCTGTACTCGGCTTCTGAGTCAGCATGGGAGCCTGCCCCAGACCCTGGGGACTCCAGAACTGTGGCAGGGCATATACGGCTGGGGCCAGTTCAGTTGCCCAGCAACTGTTGGAGGGGCACTGCCAACCTGCCCATCAGCCTTTCCAAATGGATCTATTTTCTTAGTACTCTGAGGAATCTTTGTAAGTAGGGCCATGATAATGAACTCAAGGTGTCAAGGGGTAGGGTCTGAACACATCACTAGTGGCATCCTTCCTGCCCCAGACTTCATGAAAGCCATGGGGCTGGGGGAAAGCATTTGGAAAGGTTTGATCAAATAAGGACTCTCTACTAGAGATTTCCAAATCCCATCCCAACACCTCCATCCTGTTGTCCTCAAGGGTCAGGTATCTGAACTCACCAGTCCCTGGGGAAGTGACAATTGGCTTTTTCCCCCATGCTGCAAAGCTGAACAGAGTCCAGTGTCTCTCCTCCTACCTTCCCATCCAGAGTTTGTTTCCCATGAGGGTGCTAGAGCCAGCCAACCATTCCTATGTGTCACACATGCGTACATGACCACAGATTACCAGAGCCGGACTCCTCGGATGCGGCTAGACCTGAGGACCACAGGAAACACACCCCCTGCACCTAGAAGGGCTTCGGGAGAGGGGGCAAGCTGGTGGGAGCCTGAGGGCTCTCCTTCTGTACTCCTGAGTCTCCAACCTTGCTCTTCACCTGCCCCTCACTGCACAAGACACACCCAGCCATGAGGACCTTCTCCCCGTTGATCTTCTTTATCTCTCTGCTGAATGGACACAGGCCAAGGCCTTATCTAAGCAGAGAGGCAGGGCCGGGGCTGCTACATATATCCTTTATGTTAGGTTGCCATTTTGCACGTCCACTCTTCCACCAGGGTCCTGCCCCTTGCTCTCTGACTTACCTGTGTCACTGTCACGGTAGCAGAAATACAGCGGCCGTTTTGTCAGCCTCAGGGTGTTTCTTTGTGGGGGGCTCTTGAGAGGGGTCTGTAAGAGTGGGCAAGGAGGGGGCTCTACCTATCTGATTAAGATAGGCTCTGGGCTAGCGGGCAGCCTGCCCTCTTGGCATGAGACCACTAACTCAGACCTCCTTTCCTCTCCCAGCCCTGCCCTATGTGACTAGGATGCCCACAGTCCCAGCATCCCCCGCAATCCCATCTCCACCCCTTAGCCCAGAGAAAGGGATTTTTTTTTTTCCTCCTAAGCCCAGACTGCTCGGGGCTCCAAGGTATATGGTGACCAGGCTGGGCAGACTTGCTGGCACCCCCTCTGCTTATGCTGGGCACACTTTTTCTGGCCTGTTGCCTTGCCCATCCTTTTTACCTTACAGTAATGCTCACGATATCATGGTGCTTTAAAGCAGGAAGGAGCCAGAAACTATGTCCCCATCTAGAACCTTTCGCTGAAGGATACAGGAGGCAGCAGCGACTCAACTGAGTCCCAGCTAGGACTGAAGCCCAGGTGTGTTTGCACCAAGATCTTTTGGGGTGTCTTGGCAAATTGAGTCTGAGAACTTGTCCCCGTATCCCACAAGGCCCAGTGTGTAGGGCTCAGCCCAGGGTCGTTGCCCTTTTCACCTGCGTTGGTAAGCTGTATCTGGAGTGGGCCCTTTCTGCATGAGGCAGCCATGGAAGGGCAACCTGAGTTCGGCCCACACTTGCCCCCTTTCTTAGCCCATTGCAGGGTGCCGGGTGCACACCCCCTGCACTGATGATCTTGCACTAACATCCAAGAGGCGTACTCACAAGGACTTTAAAGCAAATAAAACATTTATTGTTCAGTTTTTTTTCCATTTTTTTTTCTTTTTTACAAAAACATGCATACATACACAAGGTATGGCAGGTCTTGGGGAAGACACACACGCACACACTCTTACACGCACGCACGCACACACACACACAAACACTTTCTTGGCCCCAGGCCTGACCTCAAAAGTCTTGAAGACTTCTGGGGTGGCCTCCCCTCCCCCATGTCTGTCTATTCTCCCACCTTATCTCCCCTCAGCCAAGCTAGTTCTATGTGGGGCAGCAGTCATAGTCGAGGTGGGGGAACCCCAGAAACAGAAGGCAGGCTCATTCTGGGGGCAGTGACCAGGCATCCCTGGGCTTGTGTTGTGCTTCTAAGGGGAGATGAAGGTTTGGCACCATTGGGTCAGGAAGCACAGGACTCAGCACCTGTCTGCTGCACCAAGGCACTGAGATGGTCCACATAGGGTGGCCTCTGGCAGGGCAGTGACCAGATGGGAGGCTTGCTGGTGACTGCTCACAGGAGAGCAGCTCAGAGTGGCTCTCAGAGCCTGGGGCTGCCGAAAGACCATTGAGGAAGCAGGGGAGAGGAGCTCTCCTGTCCTCAGGAATAGGGGACCCCTTGGCTCCTACTCCTCTAGCCCTTCAGAACCTGGGAAGGGCCACCCTGGCTGAGGCCAAGTTCACATTTCTGTATGGAGCCTGGGGTGGTGTGCAAAATCTGGGGCCTTCGAAGTTAAAAACAGTGGTAGTTACGGGTCCACCTGAACCAGTCCTCCTCTGTGCAGTCCTGAGGGCTGGAGGCCACAGCTAGGGGACTGGGTCCATTCTGGAAGAGCCCAGCTGGGCCCTAGTGCCCAGCCCGCCTCCTCCCAGGATCCTTCCTGGTCCCCATCCCAGACCCAGTGGCCTTCTCAGTTCCCTGGGGTAGCTGTCAGGGTAGCTATGCTCTGGACCTGACTACCTGCCCAGAGGATCTCTGCAGACCCAGGAACAGGGCTGACAGCAGAGGTGAGGAGACGTCTGAAGGGCAGGTGATCTGCTCTGGAGCCCTAGAGATTCATAGGTTCTTCCTCTTCCACCAGCTGCTGCGAGGGCCTGGGAGGGGGACAAGGGCAGGGTGTTGGAAAGCCAGTTGGGAGGATCCAAGGGCATTCGAAGGCGTGGGCCTAGGATTGGGGGGTCTGGGAGTACCTGTCTTCAGCCAGGATGCCCACAGAGAGGGATGCCAGTGCGGTCACGGCTTCCACTTCTGCATCAGCCCCTGGTACTCTGGGCAGCCAAGAGTCTGGACAGGAGGCCAAGCGCTGCATGCAGCCCCAGTATTTCCCTAGGATGAGAAGCTGGGTCAGTAGGGGGAAAGACAAGCTGTTTGAGCTATATCCTAGACTGATCCCATGGCTAGGGACACAGGTCCAGAGCCCAAGAATGGTGGTCATGTCATCAGCTTGAGGTGAGTGCCCCTTCCTGCCCTCACCTCCCAACTTACCCCTTCCCTACCGCCCTGGGTAACAGCAGATTCAACGTGGCTATAAAGACATCTTCACAGATAACCAAGCCCCTCTCCCATCCTTCTTGGCTAATATTCCACCCTAGAGGGCTAGCAAGATAGATCAGCAGTTAAGAGCACTGGTTGCTCTTCCAGAGAACCTGGTTTTGATTCTCAGCATACAACAATCTGAAACTTGGGTTGCCTTCTTCTGACCTATAAGAGCATTGTATGCTCTCATACACATTGCATAGCCATACATGCAGACAAAATACCCATACACATAAAAAATTATTAAAAAATAAACCAGACATCTTTAATCCTAGCACTCAGAACGCTGAGGCAGTTGGATCACCGAGTTCAAGGGCAGCCTAGTCTACATAATGAGTTCCGGGAGAGCCAGGGGTTCCATAGACCCTGTCTCAAAAAATCAAAAATAAAGATAGACCACTCCATAGATGTGTGGATTCTAAAAGCACCAGGAGGGTCCACTCGACCCTACATCAGGTTTATGACAAGATTTGCTCACATATACCTATGCCTTGGCTTCCTAGAGCAACAGGGTCCCCCTCATGTGACCTCCATAGTGCTCAGCCTACCCCTAGGAGGCCAGGCTTCCTCCTGGTAGTAAATTATTGTAATTCCAGCAGACAGAGGCTGAGGTAGGAGGGTCACACACACATGTTGGAAGGTAGCCTGGGCTACTTAGTGAGACCCTGTCAAATTTAATGACCCAAGAGCTGGGTTATTTAGCAGTAGAGTGAGAGCCTACCACATGCAAGACCCTGGGTTCAATCACCAGTACTAAAGGGAGCTGGTATTAGCAGGAGGTAAGACAATCGCGGTACAGAGCCGGGACAAGCATCTTCACACCTGCTCTGCACAGCCAGCTCTGGTCCACAGAACACTCATCATTCTGCTGTTCTGAGACAGGGATGGGCATGGGCCAGCTCAGTCCAGAACCTGGCCCATGAGAGGTTCCACAGGCAGCTATGCTGTGGGTATATGTCGGCTTCCCCAACCAAGCCCCGGATATAGGGAAATCTACTTTATTCATCTTTGTATACCAATGGAGATCCGGGGCCTTCACAGAAAGTGCTCAACCTAGTTGAAGTTGAATCTAACATGTTTTCCAAATGTGAGCTCTTCAATATGGTTATATTCTGAGATCCAGGTCGGCCCTCCCCACAGCTCTCCAGTCACTGGGACCAGTACCGAGGAGCCTAAGCCAAGCCTTTATAGCAAACAAGGCCTGAGTGTTGTTGTCAGCCTGGCCCCTGGCCCAAGATTATAGCCAGAGATGGGAGGCCAGTCCCCACCATAAGGAAGCCACTGTTGTGTCCATGCTGGGTCCAAACTGGAGGGCTAAGAGGTCACCCCAGGCTAAGAGGTCACTCACTCATGGGGATATGGCCACCATTACTCCTGGCGTGGTTCCTGGGAATCCTATTTGAGATCGTCAGTATGTCTCTGGCCTGGCAGGCACTGGGTCTCTGAGACTTTGCCAGTGGGATGGTGAACCCTGGAGGCATTCCCAGGTTTGGACCCAGCAAGTATCCCAGGTCAAAACTCACTGTGCACCCTGATCACAGCTTCCAGAGAGCGGAGGGCATTGAGGTTGGGCTTCTGTTTCCAGCCTTCTTCTGAAAGGGGATCCACCTACAGAAACATTCCATCAGGGACCCCGGGCTCGGCCTGCGTGAATAGGCATGAGCTGCTGGCCCTAGACCTAACCCGAGAAGGTTGTTCCAGCCCCACCCCTTCCCCTCTTATCTACCTACTCTGTGACCAGGCATACCTGCCCCATGGAAGTATAGATAGCTGAGGGCCAAGCTTACCTTGTTGCCCAGAAGAGCAGCCACACAGGCCTCAGAGGCGTCACAGATGGCTGTGAGGTCATGACCACCCTCTAAGGCCAATACCACCGCACCTCCTGCCAAGTTCATCAGCTGCTGTGTCATGTACCCAAAACCTACATGGTTGAGGTGGGAGAAACTGTAGAGGGCGAGAGGAGAGGGAGCCCCATTCCCTACGCTGTCCTTTCCCTGCTTGCTTCCTCCTTCGTAGACAGTGCCTTAAAGATGCAAACCCCACCTGTATGCTTCACTCCAAGCTCTGAAAAGTCAAGGGTTTTCTATACAAGGCCCCTCAACTAGCAGGTGGCAGGGCTGAGACTCAAATCCCAACATCACCTCTGATCCGAGTCTCACATTGGGCCACCAGCTCTTTGTTCCCAGGCCCCTTGGCATAGTGGACGGCACTGACATTCTGTTCTGAGAATGCTGCTCTTCGAACTTCCTCTGAAGCAGCCGATGGCCCAGCCTGGAAGCCTGGCTTCTACAACTGGCCTTCCATCTGGCAGACCTAAGTCTCCAGGGGCTTGGTCCTGGGAAGTAGGCTGTGCTGTGCTAGGCTAGGAAAACCCAGGAATTCCAGGGCCTGCAGCACTGCTCCTGACCTTACATGTGGTCCTGGACTGTGACCGCTGCTTCCTACCTTTTCATTCTGGCAGGTGCATTCCTGTCCCCACACAGCCTGCTCTTACTCCCCACGTCTTCCCCATAGCTAGGGCCCGCTTACATTTGGCAGAAACATGGTAGCCACCCAGCGGGGCTGGGTGACCCTCGGCAGCATCAAATCCAGCGGACACCAGGACCAGGTCTGGAGCAAACTCTCGGGCAATGGGCATCACCACGATCCTGAAGTTGCAAGGAGAGATATTAATCACCCGGGGCCCAGCACAACCCATCCTTGCCCTTCCCGCCAACTTCACTGAGGGCTCCTATCCTTATGGGATGCTCCGATCTCCTTCACCCTGGCTGTGGCTCTGGTCAAGCAGCCTCAGAACTCAGCCAGAGTCTCAGAACAGAGACTTTAATGAGCACGGGGCAGAATGGAGACAAAGATCCTATCATGGGATGAGAGAAGTGCGTGTGTGCACGCTTGGTGTGTTTGTGCTTGTTCTGGTCACTAAGCCTCAGGGGCTCTGGCTAAAGTTGAGCACCACTATGTTTAGAGGTGACCTGGGCAACTTGCCCCCTAAGAGTGCACCAGGGTGACCAGACCCGAGGTCCTGGACTGCCAAGCTCCATCCTTCATCTTCTTTCCCCTGCCTGCCCCTAATGCCCCAGCCCAAGGCTGGTGTCCATTTAGGCATTTAGCTCGGCACAGACACCAGGGAGTCCCACTCAGGGTGCCTGAAGAATTAATTCTCACGGGAGAACCTCCAGAAAAGGACTTCCAGGTTTAATGTAGAGTTCCATTTTCCCTAGAAACAGACATAGGGGCCTGGAATGAAGGAGACAAGGGCCCCTTACAAGAGTCCAAAGCTCTTTTTTTAAATATTTATTTATTTATTTATTTAGTATACAATATTCTGTTTGTGTGTATGCCTGTACCAGACCCCATTACAGATGGTTGTGAGCCACCATGTGGTTGCTGGGAATTGAACTCAGGACCTCTGGAAGAGCAAGCAGTGCTCTTAACCTCTGAGCCATCTCTCCAGCCCCCAAAGCTCTTTCAAGAGCAGTTTTCTAAAGTAAAGCCATCCCTCCATGTGGGCAGCACTTAAGGACACCAAGTTTCTACTCTCGCCAGAGACCCTACCACCTCCAGGCAGTCTTTGACCAAATGTGGCAGCTTTGTTCTACCCAAATCTCTCCAGATGTGTGGCTCTGACTTTCTCATTCTTGTGTGTGTCCTATTTCCTTATTGGAGCTGGCTTACACTGGCTCGTAACCAAATGTGAACAGATTGACAACTGGTAGCTTCTAACCTAGGGCTGTGGGAAAGGGAGGAGAGACAGTCTCGCAGGACTGACTTCCTCTAGACCCCAGAGTGCTTACCTGAAGGCAGCGAGGTACTCAGGATCCCCCATGGGTGGATCCAAGCCCCCAGCCCAAGCCACGTTGACATTGAAGCCTTCACCATTGCCAGTCCCTACCTGGAAAACAAGCCGCAAGGAAGACATGAGAAGAACAGAGTCCCAAGCTCATCCAGGTTCTTCAGTTCCACACAGGGGAGCTGAGGCTCAGAAAGGATAAGCCACTGCTCAGAACCACACAAGAAAGGGGCAAAGAGGGTCCAGGAGGAAAATCAACATGCCGGAAGATGCTGAGCCAGCACAGTTACCTCATCCACAGCCCCACTGCCTGGGAAGAAATTGCCGTCATCATGGCGGTGCAGGGAAATGTACAGCACGCTGGGGTCCTGGTAGAACGTTTGCTGTGTGCCGTTGCCATGGTGAACATCCTGCACAACACAGCAGACAGATGGTTAGCGTGGTCCAGAAGCAGAAGGACTTCAAGGTCGGTGACCATTCTGAGTCCTGGGACGCTAGGATGGTGGGGTCAGGAAACTACAGTTTCTAGGCGCCTATGACTGAGTTGCCCCAAGTAATCTACTGTCTGGCAGTGATCTCCCATCTCCACGTGGAAAGACTTCCCGTCTTGAGATAGGATCTCAATATGCAGACCAGGCTGGCCTTGAGCTCACAGAGACCCACCTGCCTCAGCCTCCCGAATGCTGGGATTACTGTGCCATCATACCTGGCAAAAACTCTCTATATAGATTGTGTGTATGTGTGTGTATGTGTGTGTGTGTGTGTGTGTGTATGAAAGAGAGAGAGAGAGATTGGTAGAAATCATCTCTGTGGACATAAACTCTTCCACTATGCCTTGTGAGTGTGTGTGTGTGTGTGTGTGTGTGTATGAAAGTGGGGGAGGAGAGGTAGAAATCATCTTTATGAACATAAACTCTTCCCACTGTGCCTTGCACAAAGTCATGAGGCATAGCCTGTGGCCAACAATCAAGTTTAAAGGGACCCAGGCCTCTAGGAAGTGCTGGACTCTGCCTCGACTCACAAGACCACACACAAGTTCCCATGTGCGAAATCCCCCCACTGTTCTCAATGTCTGCTTAGAAACTCTCCTTTCACACCTGTCTACGCAGCTGAGACAAGGTAGTTAGAGACACACCACGATATAACTGGCCTGGGCTCCAATCTTGGTCTCTCATCTCCTGAAGTGAGTGACTATTAAAGGCAGTAATCTCTGTATGTACTTTCCTCATCAGTGAAATGGACTACAGTCAGGACCAGATAGAAAAGAGTCAGCTTCTAGATATGACTGGTGATATGTTGATGCCATCAGATATGGCTGCTATGGTTACAGTGTGGAGGAGAAATGGCTCACTCTGTCGAAAAGAAGCCAACAACAAATTCAGACATGCAGCCCCATCTCTAATGCAAGGTTCAGGGTTCTGCCAGCAGGCGTGGGTCCGGTGTCACCAGGAACCAGGACCTACCCAGTCAACAATGAGGATCTTGCTGGCCTTGCCTTGTTGCTGAAGCTGTCTGCAGGCGATGGCCACGGAGTTGAAGAAGCAAAAGCCCCTGGAGGAAGGAGAGACGGTCCTGCCAGCCCATACCCACCCTTCTCGGCCTACAGGGAGGCTCTGGAGGCTGCCCCCACCTCACACCACACAGGCCCGCCTCCCCAACACCTTACATGGCTGTGGAATGATCAGCGTGGTGTCCTGGGGGCCGCACAACAGCAAAACCGTTCTGAAAGGGCAAAGACATTTATCACTCCAACAGCCATCTCTAACCTACATCTGCCTGAGCCCATTCCCATCCTGGCCTCTTTCTCGAAGGAGGGAAAGGTGTGAGAGCCGGCATGTTGCACCGAAGTGTCCAGACGCTTCATATACACGGCAGGCCTCTCGCAGCGACTCTACATCATAAGCGTCATCACCCCCAATTTATAGATGAGAAATCAAACGACAGTGAATTGACCCAAGTTACATGGCTGCGAACGGTAGTGACGGGAGCCCTTATGATGGCAAGGGCACACCGATTGCCTTGGGCTATGAGCGCTCAGACACTGGAGCTGTGTGCTTCAGGCAGATCACCCCGAGGCGCTCTCTGAGAGCAGTGAGCATAACCCCAACCTAATATGCAGGATCCCATCACTAAAATGAGTCAACAGGGCTGTGGTACTCAAGAGTGGCCATGATGCACCCACAGCTATAAACAAGTCTTAAGTGGCCTCGGATGGTCAGGACTGTCCGAGACACCAAGGTGCTAGTGCCCGGTGGCTTGATTACCTGTGACATGAACTTAGGGGTCAAGACTTACCTTGGTTTCAGCCCCGATTTCCATTTCAAATCCTTGTAGCAGTATCCACAAGGAGTGAGAGGTCTGAGGCTGGGATCCAGAAGCCCCACCCCATCATCACCTGGGCACCTCCTTCGGAGTTTAGCAGCCTCTAATCTAAACTTCTTACCTTCAGCTCTCCGGAAGCCACTCTGAAGGCGAGGTCAGTGACGCTGCCTGCGGCCCAGCGGGCTGCATTGGAGGAGTGCAGCTCATTCCAGATAGTGTCAGTATCTACCTGTGGGGGCCAGGGTTGGGGACTGCATCATCCTATGCTTTCCACAGGAGATAGGGCCCCGTGAGGCAGTGCCCACCCCATGGCCAGGACCCCAGGGGCAGGGAGCTGGGCAGACAAAGCTGCCTCCCCAGTGCCCCACCGCCCAAAGGCAAGGCCTCCTGTGTCCCCAGTCCCAGCAGGACTTCTTCCCAGCACCAACTCGTGTGTGGCCAGCACTCTGCCTCCCCAATCAGGGGAGGGGGCATGGCGTTACCTGGGCGGGATTGGGGTATGGGCCGGGAGGGGTTTTAAGCCCCAGCTGATTCTGCTCAGGCCCTGCGGGATGGTCGGAGCTGGAAGGGCCGTCTGCACCACTGTCTTCCACTCAGGGCCCCTAGCCCAGGCTGGGAGGCCCCCCAAACCCAGTCCCTGGGCCTCAAGGCTAGGGAGGGGCCGGGGGCCATGATGGGGAGATGGGAAGGGCGAGGCGGACCGAGAGAGGCGAGGAAGGCAGAAAGAGTCGCAAGAGGCTGGAGAGAGAGAGAGAGAAAGGACAGAGAGGGAGAGGAGGGAAGGGAGAAGTGAAGCAACAACAGTTGGAAAAACCAGAAAGTGGCAAGAAATGGGGAGTTGTGAACAGGGCACTGACTGTCTCCCCAACAGCCCCCCCCCGGCAGTTCCCACTGCCCTCCTTGCTCAGCCTCCACCTCATTTCCGCACACCTTGCCTGGCACCATGACAGGGACATTCTGAGGCAGGGAGGCCATGCCAGAGGAAGCAGAAAGACCTCCGACAGGTGAAGGAGGGATGAGCAAAGCTGGGGGCTGGAAGGCTGTGTCCTGGGCAGGGACGTTCTAAACCTCTAAATACATGGGAGGCACCCCACAGCCCCACTCTAGGCAGTCCAAAATCTGGAGGTCAAGTAGGGGTACACCTGAGAGAGACCCACTCCTGGGCAGGCAGAGCTGCCAACTCCTGGGACATAATCTCAAGCCCCAATGTGAGCCTGTCTTGAGCCTCACTCAACATCTACCAAATACCTTCTAACTGTGAGGCGCTGGGCTCCACACTCGTGGGACACTAACGGGACTGGGATCTATCTATCTATCTATCTATCTATCTATCTATCTATCTATCTATCTATCTATCTATCTATCTATCACATGGAGCTCCCAGCCAGCAGAACATACTGGGAAAGGCCCCAACCTACCCAGTCTGACAGAACCACAAGTCCCAGGTGGCAGAGGAGTGGGAGAGGGCCAAGAGAACCAAATGGAAGGCTGAAACCCCTTGGCAATGCCCACTTGAGATCTCTGGGGCATACTTACCCCAACCCCGCCACAGGGTAGCATCACGAACATCCGCTGTGCCAGGAGGCCTGTGGGGAGAGGGTCCGGGTCACGTGAGTGAGGAGCACAGAGGCCTTAAGAGTAAATATGGAGAGAAAAGCAATACAGGGGGATATGGAGATGGGCAGCGGGTGGGGTGCGGCGGGCAGACGACATACGGACAACAGCAAGGCAGCACACTGGCACGGGGGTAACTAGGCAGCTGGGCACAGCTGGGGCACGAGTGCAGAGGTGGGTGAGGTGGGTAAGCGCGGACTGATTCAGGGCCGACATCACCTGCCTCCCTCTCCTACCTGTCAGCTTCCCATTATCCAGTTTGAGGCGGCTGAGGGGGTTGGTGCCATAGAGGAGGACGTGCCTTTCAGAATGGACTGATTGCAGCTCCTCTAGGGAGGCCTTTCGACCCCGGAGACACTGAGGGAGGGTCCACAGAGCTCGTGTGGTTTGCTCACCCCCACCCTTCCACCATCCCCAGACCGCCCACCCCCTCATCCCTTGCTGACCTCTTGCCGCTTCCTGTGTACAACCCCACAGCCTCACCTCACACTGGCTGCGGAGACCCCGCTCCTGCAGCCGGGACCAGATGCTCTGGATGCGGCCTGCGTGCTCAGGGTGCTTGCTGTTGTCTCCACAGGAGCATTGGTGTTTCAGCATCACTGAGTCATAGACCAGCCCTGCAAGAAACAGCGGTCGGGGCCGGCAGCCGGGGAGGGGCGGTCCACCACGGCTACAGATGGAGAAGAACCCATACCCGCAGAGCCAGGCATGTACACATCCCTTGCTGCCACATGTGTGCATTCCCTGCCCAGCCCTCATGTGGAGAGCCAGCCCTGTTTCCCTACGCACACATCTAAATGCCTCAGGCAGCCTGATGTACACATCAGGGCAGTACTAGCCCTACCTTGTTCTGTATGATCCCTGCCTGCCTTCTTGGTACTCTTACTCCTTCCTCACAAGCTCAACATATCTCCGGTGCACTTGAGAGTCCATGCCCTAAACCAGAGACTTAACACAGGACATCTCCCTCTCGGTGTCCCGACACAGAGAGGAAAAGCAATTCCAAGGAAACCTCAAGACTGGGAGAGGGGGTACCCACAATGCTACTGGCCATGTGGCCAGTCTCCCAACTGCATATGGAAAACACTCAGAAAACTGGTTTACTTTGTAAGCAATATGCAAACAGCATGAAATCTATTTACATAGCATCTACCTTGTACGAGGTATCAAAAGCAAAACAGAAGTGATTTAAATAGGTGAAAAGATATGCACAGGTTAAACGCAAATGCCATTTTACATGGTGAGCTTGAGCATCTATGGTTCTGGTACCTTTACAAGGTGGGCTGGCGTCCTAGAATCGCCTCTCTGAGGGACTAAGAAACTGTATTTCAGCCTACACCAAGGGAAGTCTCCAGAAACAGACCCTGTCCATGCACACTGCTGAGGGACGGTCAGTGTCTGCACATCTCAGGATACCAGAGACTTTCAAAATGCTCACACCATTTGACCCAGGAATGCTACTCCTTAAGAATGACCCTCAAGAGACAATCCCAGACAGAAGACATAAGAAAATTAAAGGTCAGGTGTGGTAGCACACACATTTAATCCCAGCACTCAGGAGGCAGAGGCAGGTGTATCTTGTGAGTTCTGGGCCACACAGAACTTCATAGTAAGAGTCTATCTCAAAAATTAACAAGCAAAGCAAATTAAAACTACAGCCAGGTGGTGGTGGCACACGCCTTTGATCACAGCACTCAGGAGGCAGAGGAAGGTGGATCTCTTTGAGATCAAGATTAGCCTGGTCTGGACAGCCAGGGCAACACAGAGAAACCCTGCCTCAAAAAGAAAACAGCAAACAAACAACAACAACAACAACAAAAAACCAACCAAAAGAAAGAAAAGAAAAAGAAAAAAGGAAAAAAGAAAAAACCAATAAAAAAATTAAAAAGAATTAAAACAAAAAAAATTGAAATTAAAACTGAACTGGGCATGGTTATTCACACCTGCAATTCTAGTACTTAAATACCTGGCACCATTAGCAAAAAATAAAAAAGGACTCAGTCAAACAGGATGCAAAATAATAGCTGGCATGCCTGTGACATTAGACAGCTTAGGGCAACAAGACTCTTGGTGATTTTTTTTATTCCTATATTTCCTTGAATTTCTCAAAATGTTTGAAATACTTTTGAGCTTTTTTTTACAAGTACAGCAATGGTAAGTGACGTTTCGGCTTTTGTTTTAAAAGGTCATGGTAGAAGGAGACCAAATTCCTTCCTGGCCCGACCGCTGCTTCTGTCACTTAACCATAGCTAGTCACTGTCAACTTAGGTTTTCTGAGTCGTGATGTCCTCACCTGCCTCATGGGCACCAGGGAGCTCAAACAAGATTAAGGCGTGCTCTATGGTCTCTGGAACTGTCCTGAATACTGGCTACAGACATGGACACACACCCCAGCCTCTTCCTCCTGCCTTCCCAAGAGTCCCCTTTCGGTCTTACCTGTGGCAGGTGTCTCTGAGCTGTTAAGGACTTGGGTCTGACAGGTGGGCTCTGGGCTCAGTAGGGAGACAGGAGCTGCTGGAGAAGACTGGGTTCTGGACAGGGGCCGGTGTCCGACCTGGGCCAGAGGTAGCAACACAGAGTCGCCGGAGCTTCCCTGGGAGAGCCGCCCAGTTAGATGCTGCTGCTCCCAGAGTGGCACCTGAAAGAGACATGGCCACGGTCTCCAGTTTCTCAGATTTGACCACCCAAGGACTAAGGACTCTCCAGATAGACCTTCCTTTCTAGAAAAATTCCAGATATGCGTTCTGGCCTTTCAACTCTCCAGCTCCCTGAAGACCAGCATGCAGACTGATGCTCTGATTTCACAAGAGCTCCTTGGCTGAGTCTATGCTGACCGAGATCACCTCTCCTGGACTGTGCTACTAACCACAAAAAGACCTGCCTGGGACACTAAATGCATGTGAACTGTCACCACCAAGTGCTGCTGGTAGAATCCCATTTCCCAAATTCATAAAGTCTTAAGCCCCTGTCTTTGGAGGTAAGATCTTTGCAGGGGGAATCAAGTCATCATTGAAGAGGCTTGCCGTCCCTCTAAGGAGGAAATCTGAGCAGAGGCCTACAGACAAGCCTTCCTCCACAGCTCAGAGCACACACTCCCACCCCACTCAACACACACACACACACACACACACACACACACACACACACACACACACCTTGATTTCACCGTCAGCCCTCAGAGCTTCAAGGTGATCAGTATCTGCCTTTCAAAAAACCTGTGTGTAGCTCCTGCTGCCGTGGTCTTGGCAAATGAACACTGCCTTGGCCCCCCATGCTATTAATCTAAAGCCCAGAGGACTACTGTTGTCCGCTTTTTGCCCCAGCTACCTTTGGATAAAAGACACCTAGTTGTAGGGAGGAGTGTGAAGTGGGAGTACGTGTGGTTCTGTGAAAGGCCAAGAAGCAGACAAAAGAAGAGGATCTACTTGAGAAAGCAGGCTACTGGTGTGTATGTGCACATGAACACACACATGCGCACACACGCATGCACACCTGCACATGCACGCACCCATGTGGGCATCTGCACCTTGATGTGGGTCTTATGCTATCCCCCTTCCTTCCCCATTATGTCAAGCCTTCTGACTGAGCTTTGCAGAGCCCTTGGGCCCAGCCATACCTGCTGGCGCTGCTGCAGAGAAACGGGGCTTCTGCCCTCTGGAGGCCCATGGCCTGACTCCCTAGGTTCCAGGCGATCATTCACTACAGGTCCCACTCCCCCACCATCTGTCTCTAGGTCCTCAGCTGAGGGTATCTGCCGCAGTCGGGGCTTCTCGCTTGGCTTGGCAGGCCTCTGGGGAGGGGAGATGGCTGGCTGAGAAGTGGGATAGAGAGGAGGGTGGGTGGCAGGGCATGGGTTGGGTGAGGTCACATTCATCTTGCTAGGTGTTCAGCAGCCACCTCTCTTGTCTGCCAGGCCTTTCCTCCTCCTAAGCGCCCTTCTTCCAACCCACAGGGGCTCACTCAGGCATGCCCTTAGCACTTCCCCTACCCAGTTCCTCTCACCTTGATCAGCTGGACGTGAGGTTTGAGCCGATCCTGTCGGGATTGCAGGGGGCCCAGCAGAGGGGAGGCAGTGGCGCTGGGGGGCAGGGGCTCTGAGCGGGTCCGGTTAAGTGGCCGGTGGAGGCCTGAGCCGGAGAGCCGCTCGGTGGTCAGTAAGGGCTGGGCAAATTGGAAGGGCAAGGGTCCAAGCCCAGGCACTGGAAAGAATAGATGTATGTAAGGAAGGGATTCTGGGAGCCAGGAAAGAGACAGGGGCATAGAGTGGAGGTAGGGCTTGTCAAGAAGATACAGACAATAAGGGACTAGAAGGTGGGTCTTTCCCGGAACTTGGCCCCTTGGCAGGGTGCACAAATCCTACCCATTCTGAGAGAAGCAGCAATACTCACCAGTCCACAGTGGGGCGTGGGAGACTGAGGGATCCAGGAGGAGAATGGGCTGCAGGCGAGAGGGTAAGGTCCCCCCAGCCTCTGGCTCCAGACCGTGGTGCAGGAAGAGGGGAGCGTGGGGGTTCCCCAGGACAGGACCCCGAGGGCCCAAAGTCGAATGGGTCCTGCGGTCACCATCAGCCTGAAAGAAAGGAAATAAGTCAGAGTTGGACAGGATTCTGGGAAAGGAAGGTAAAGGAGAGGCAACAGGACACAGGCAGGAAAGAGGCTGGAGAAGCTCGGAGTGGGGGCAGGTTGCCCCAGCCACTCACCCTGGCAGGGGCAGGCAGCCCCAGTGTGATTGCGGGCAGCAAGGACATTGTCGGCAAAGCGAACGGGGCCAGAGAAGTCTCCTGCAGCCGCAGCCGCTGGCCCAAGAGCGCCTGCCATGGGGAGCAGGGTGACGGGTCACCAGTTCTGGAACTCTAACCCTGGTCTGTCTGTCCCCAGAACACCCAAGAGGCCCTGCTAGGGATTCCCCAGACCCTGAAGCCTCAGGCCAGGCCACATGCTGGAAAAAGGCCAAGACTCAGAACTGCCCCCAGGAAAGCCCAGTCCCACTAAAGCCTTACCTCTGAGCCCAGGGCAGGGTTGGGGCCATGCTCGCTGTCATTGGGGGAGCTGCACCCTGAGGCAGGTGTGCTGCTACTACCGGGGGAGGAGTCTGAGGAAAAATAAAGAAATAGTCAGGCTCAGGATTCCTGACCACAGTTCCTCCCTTCCGGGATGTGTTTCTGCTTTCTTCCTGGAGGAACAGAAAGTTGCCAGACCTCCACCAGCCTGCGGCATCTCTGGGCAGTTGCTTTCATGCAGCTCCCAATTCCCCTGCAAACGCCAACTTAGCAGACCCAACAAGGTTAGGGCTTAGCCTCAACTTGCCCTCTCCCAGGCAGGTGTGTGGGATACACCCTGGACAACACTTAGCAGGCCCACGTGGCAACTTCTATCTGGGTGGAGCACCACGGGTAAGGAGGGCAACTCCACGGCTCTGGCTCTGCCTGATTGGATCCTACCTCCAAGGGTCTCGGCAGGCCGCCTCCGAAGGCTGGGCGGGGCACTCTCCTTTCTGAGCAGGGGATTCTTGCGCCGCTCCAGGGACTTCTTGGGCTTATAGCGCAGCTTCAGGTTGGGCTCAGACACTGCAGAGGAACCAGCATCACTCCATCGCTATGCCAGCTACCCTGCTCCTCTCCACTCTTCTTTCTCTTAAAGGTCCTCACTACATAGACCAGGCTGGCCTTAAACTCACAGAGCTCCTCCTGCCTCTGCCTCCTGAGTGCAGGGACTAATGGCATGCACTACCGATAGGCCTGCCTTTTCTGTGCACTTTAACTTCCCTCCTGACCACCTCTATGGGTTAAAGAGAAAAAAGGAAAAGCCAGAAGGGGAAAAAAAACATAGTGTGCTAACTGCCTCAGCCCTCCCTCAGCCCCATACTCCTGACCTAAAACTAAGGCCCTTCCCCTACTCTGATCCCCGAAAAGGTCTGCCCTGCTCACCTGTTTTACGCAGGGGAAAGTGTTCCGGGGCTTCAGTGGGCAGGCTGGGAACCGCAGGCAGGAAGCTGCTAAGCACAGAGCGGGCAGCACCCTCTGTGTCCAAGGGCTCAAGAGTTCTGTGGGGTGAGCATCAAGGCTACTTCAGAAGCCCGGGATGCCCAAAGGCCCTGAAATCTCACTGTGCACAGATGCCTTCCTGAGCACAGCTGCCAGGAGGGCAACCACCAACAAAACAGAGTTGGGCAGTGTGGAGCCACATGCCAGGAGACATCTCCAGGTGGCAGTAGTGGGTCACCCATGCTAATGTAGCTGGTCTGCTCCTGGGATAAAACCCAGGCCTTGGAGCTTAGGGCCCCCTGGAGACTCAGTGCCTCCTGTGGTAGGAACCTTTTCTAGGAACCAGGGCTTCCAGGGCCTCAGGTGAGACATGGGGAGAAAACTGAAGAGGAGAGGAGGACAGGTCCTCATTGAGGGGGATTTGGGGGGATCATGTTAGGGGTGGAGTAAGAAGCAGTTGGTAGGTGTTAGGGAGGAAGGGGCTATAAGCATGTGTGCCAGGTAACTCACAGGTGAGTATGTAGGGCAGAGGGGGCACAGAAAGGACCTGAGGGATGGTGAGCTGCTACCTGTAGGGAATACTGGGGCTGCTGGGATGGACTGTTCTCTCAAGGGCTGCCTGCTGTTTTTTCAGGATCACCTCAGCCAGCTTCTGCTTGACCACACTGCTGGCTACAGCACCTGCAGAGGCAGAGAAACAAGAAGGCTGGCAATGGGGAGACAGGAAGCCTCTCGGGTTCATTCTCTGCCCGCTGTCCAGGTCACACTTTCAGCGCACCACGTCTCAGGGGCTCCTCAGGCAAGAGAGGTAGGCCCGAGCCCCCACCCCTCATGTGAAGCCTCGAGACACTTCTGCCCACACTTCTGTTCACAGGCAGAGCAGAAGGCATCCTAGAAAATGGTGACCCTTCCACGCACCCCTTCCAGGCCCATGGGGGACCCTGAACAGCAACCAGAAAACAGGGGAGACAGACCCCTCTCTTACTTCGCTTGCTCTTGTCTTTATTGAGAAGTTGCCGAAGTTCTTGTTCCTGCTGTCCCCCCTGCAGCTCTGGCACTGGCGCGTCCATGGAGAGCTGTGGACAAAGCAGAGCCGGCAGCTCAGGGAAGGCGGAGTAAAGGACAGAGCTAAGGTCCAGGGAGGCTGGGATGTGTCTAGGGAGTTCTGTCTTTACCCTCATGGGCTCTGCTGAGCGCTGTTGCTGTTGCAGGCCTGCCAGGAAGAGATGGCGGTGCAGACGCTGGGGGTGCTGCAGAGCCAGTAGCGCAGGCTCTGGTACGGGCTCCACTGTGGGCCGCTGGCCCACGCGCAGATCCATGGGCTGGGACTGGCAGCCTGGTGTGTCTGGCTGGAGGGCAGGGCAGCCTGGGGACACACAGCAGTGTCAGGTGGATGGTTAGTCTGCGGGAACACGGTCACAGACGACTGAACCCTTGGGGGCGGATTCGACATCGGTAAAATCACCCTTAGGGGAAAGCCTGTCAGTGAGGTACAGGTGGGACCTGGATGCCAATCTACCTATGAGGAAAGAGGTCTACAAACTACAGACACACTCCCTTTCGATTGCGGGTGGCTAGCACTGAGCCATAGGACTGCAAGCATAGTGTCGTCCCCCTAGAACACTTTTCCACTGGCTTGGGGCTAAAGCTATAGTGTTTTCTGAGATGGCGACGCAGTTCTAGGCTCTATACTCTGCTTCCCTTTGTCTTTCTAGGAATGAGGCCAGGCCTGCTCAGGACAGGAGAGACCAGGCAGGTAACCAGGCCCACTCACTCGGTCTCTTAAACCCTCAGCTGCCCCTCTCTCATCCCCATGCTCTCTCTGTACCACTCCAGTTTTTGGGATCCAGACATCATGCCTGGAGTTCACAAGCAGCCCTGGCTGGTTCCCTCCGCTCACCAGGTCCATGAGCTGTGGTGCAGACTCCTGCCTCCCATTGGAGCCAGCTGTGGGCCTGGCAAGGCCAGCAGGCTCAGCTGCTGCTTCTCCAGTGTCCTCTGCACCCACGCCAGGAGCACCTTGCCAAGACCGTGGGTGCAGGAGCTATTTATAGCTCGCCAGCAGACCAGGGACAGTGCCAGCATAGCCAGCTGGCCCGGCTGGGCTAAGCAGCCAGGGGTTCTGAGATGCTGGGAGGTGGGGCTGCTGCAGGGGAGGGGGTCCCGGGGAAGGGAAGGATGAGAGCACAAGAGAGGGGGAATCTTCTTCAGGCATCCCCTCCCAGAGCAGCCACAGCTACCCTCAGGGGCTGGCACTGGTGAGGAAGATCCCCAGTGAAACACCAATGGGAGAGTCAGGAAATGTAGTCTGTGGTCTGATGTACCTAGAGGCATCACAACCTTAACATCTGTGGTGCATGCATGCAACAAAACCCAATCAGCTCTCAGGCCACCTGCCTTGGATGCTAGTTATTGCTAGCCTTTATCCCAGATGAGCCAAGTGGGGTCCCGGTGTGAGGGGGACATCAAGGGGCAGAGAGAGGCTGGAGTCCAGTCCTCTGAAGGCCAAAGCGACATTTCCCCACCAACACTCAGGAAATTCACCTCCCTCTGGTAGGGGCTCCCACTGGGCAAGGGAAGAAAGAACTCATGGGGACATTGTCACTAAGAGGTGTCAGTCCAGCACTGTGAGGTGGACATGAAGAGTTGAGCTGGGCCTACTGTGGCCCTCCAATTACTTAGCAATTTGATAGGGTGACTGCTCATTCAGATGCCACCCACAGTAAACAAACACCAGGATTTGGTGCCCTCACTCCTGTTCACATGGCTACCCAAGAAATCATTCTGGTTGAGTATGGGCCTTCATTGGCAACTATTCCCAACCCATGAGAGGCCTGTCTCCTCAAGTTCTAATGTACCGACTTCCTGAGGTCACTCCCTTGGTGTAGGAATCAGGAGCGCCCGAGGCGGGACACTATACCTGAGGCTTGTGGCTTCAGCCACAGCAAATTTGGAGCAGCCACCTAAGAGCCACCGCCATCTTCACTCAGTATTACTTCCGCCAGTGCAAAAGGATGCCAGGCCAGAGGCTGGACTCTGGTCAGAGCTTTGGGAATGCCTGTCGGGGTGCCTTAGCATTGTGGGGGGATGCTCCATCCGGTAGCTCCGAGACAGGGAAAGTTCTCTGGGAAGCCTCCTTCAGGCATTTCCCAGTGAACACCCACCTCAACTTGGTCTCCTCCAAGTTTGTGAACAAAGCCACCAAGTAAGACAGTGACTCCCCCCTCCCCCACCCCCGCCCCGTAATAGACCCAGAACTTCTTATCCCCTGGTGTTTGGCTCACAATGTCTCCTGGCAGTGCTGTGTCTACATCTCACTTTCCCAAACCAACTGCTCAAAGCCCAGCCGACCTAGGTCAGCGCACAGCACCTCTTCCTCCTGGACTCCACGTTGGCTGCTCCTAGCATTGTAAGCTGCTCAAGGGCAAGCCTGGGTTAAGCTCCAGAGGTTGGCTTTGGTTTGCCATTGCTCACCATCCCGGGACTTAGGATACTGTAACCGGGCATAAGGTAGAAAATAAACACAGATTCGCAGGGAAATCTTGATATTTCTCCTCAGTGGCTTAGAACGGTGGTTCTTCACATCTATGTAGTTCATTAACGATTCGGAGCGATAGGATAAGCTCATGAGTCAAGTGGTCTCAATTAGCACAGGGCATGTGTTACTACCTATCCTACCCCCCCCACCCCCTTTCTGTCTTGTCTCCTTTTGTGTGTCCCGTCTTCCCAAGCTTTGGGACAGCTGAACTAAGATCCTCTGGTCCCTGCCAGCTCTCCCTGCTATGTGCTACGTGGTGGAATCCCTACCTACATCATTGCCCGTGGCAAGTCAGGGAAAGGACAGCTTCAGACCTCCATTGGAGACCTAGGTAGCAACAGGAAGTCCACTGCAACCCAGGCTTCCAGGAAGAGCTAGTGACAGCAGAGGCGGTCCAGGCCAGTAGGGAGGACCCAGAGAAAGTCATCTAACCAATAAGAGACCTCACTCTTCCCTGAAGGGCCCATGAGAGGACAGAATGACTTGAAAACAGGAACACAACTCTTTTAACCTGGATCCAAAGATGCCTCTCCTGTCCTTATTCTTCTGGAGGCCCAACTTTGTACCTTCCTTAGGACCCCCATCTTCCAACTCTCTGGCCCAGCAACATCCCCACTTCTTCACACCCTTGGGGTCTCACCTTTCCCAGGTAGTTTTATTCCTCATCCTCATCTCCCACCCATCTCTCTCAGGCCTGACTTTTACCTGTGCCATGGTGAGTGGGGCAGCGGGTACCCAGGCTTACCTGGGACCCATCTGTAGAAAGGAGAGAGCTGAAGGTGTATTGGCAGGGGGAGAGGGGCAAGGGAAGAGGGCTACCACCCCTGGAGAGGGCAAGCTCCCTGCTGCTCCAGGCTGGCCAAGTGGGATCTCCAGCTTCTGCAGCAGCTACCAAGTGCCTTAGCTAGCTACTCCACTGTTTGGGCACAGTGCACAACAAGAACTCAAGGAAGCCCCAGTTCACCCAACAATGCCCTCAGCCCTCCCTAATGTGGTCAGATACCATCTTCCCTGGGCAGCCAAAGCACATTCCCAACAGCCTGAGAGGGAAAAAGCAGGTTCGGGGGTGCGGGACCAGACGTGGGAGCATGTGGCTGGGGAGGGCAAGAGCGAGCTGGGGAGAGCAGGCCTTGAGAAGCAGAAAGTAAATGTCAGGAACAGGAAGAGTCCTCAAAGCAGGAAAAGACTGATCTGTGACTGCAGGCAAAGGAGAGCTGGTAGGATCTGTGAAGTAGGGGAGCTAGGCACCCCAAGGACCCCAGTGTAGGGCCCCTTCATCTAGCTGCCCCATTCTTGATTGTCCAAGTAAAAGTCCCATTAAGCCTTTCTGAGATAACCTGGGTTAGTAATCTTTTCTTTGGAAATGGCAATCTCTCCCAGGCTCCCACAAAACTACATTAGGAACTTGGGTTGGTTGATACAGAAAAGACCCAGACAGGCTAGGAGGGGGAAGCAGACATGAGTTCTCACAACACCTGTCCGCAGTGCCATCCCAGCTCGGGGGCCAAGGAACTGAAGGCCCTCCCAGAAGGGTCAAGGAAACCGAAGGCTTTCTCTAGGCAGTATTTAGTGGCTACACTCCTCAGACCAGACCTAGTGCACAAGGTTGCTTCCTGGAGGGAGATGGGTCCTGGTTTCTGGACCCGTGCTCAGTGGGCAGCTCCAGGCATAAGGGACTCAGACCAACGGCCCATCATACCTTCCCATCCATGCCTTGGTACACACTTCTGTGAGGACACGCTGCCCCCGCCCATTAATTCAGTCACCTCCGGAGGTCTGTCTGAGCCCTCATGTCGGGGCGGGACTGGTCCTATCTGCTCTCCTCACTTCTCATGCGCTCCCAGTGTCCCCACACCTCGGCACAGCATTGATAATGGGATCAATGGTGGTGTTTATCACCCATCCTCACCTGCAGTAACACCTCCTAAGGCACAGGAGGCCCTGTTGGTCCTGATGAATCACACAGTGATCCTCTCCAGACTCCCTGCCTAAAACAGAAATATTTCTCAAGTTTTGTAATCCCCAAGAAAGAACTACCCCAGAAGCTGCCTCCTCTTTCTAGGGCTAATCTTCATTCTGGATGTCTCAGGACACCCTTCTTCTGGGGGCTCTGGTCCTGGGAGGTTTCTGCACTGACTCTTAGTGTATTCCCTGTATAACAGTTAACCTTGGTGGTCAACCTGACATATGGGAAGAGACACCTCAGCAGAAGAATTACCGCCATCAGACTGGCCCAGTCTGCTCTATGAGGCCTTTTTTTTTTTTTAATTGCTAACAGAGGGGAGCAGTGACACCCCAGGCAGGTGGTCCTGGGTTGTTCGAGGAAGGTAGCTGAGAGAGGCAGAGAGAGCAAGCCGGGAAGCAGCACTCCTCCATGGTTTCTGCTTCCACATTCCTGCTTGAACTCCTTCCCTGACTTCCCTCAATGACAGATGTACTATGATGTGGAGCTATAATCCAAACAAACCCTTTCCTCCTCCAAGTTGCTTTTGGTCATGGTGTTTACCACATTGCTGAAACCAGATTTTTTTCTTTTTTCCTTTTTTTTTTTTTTG